GTAGAAAATAGATTTAGCAATGGAAGGCCCAGAGAAGACTGGTTCCTGAATTTTGTCAGTAAAAAAGCCTCAAGCCGTTGAATATTCAAGGAAAAATATGACAGATCCATTTGTCATTCAAACATGCTTTGATCTTCTACACGAACAACTCGAAGTTCTTAATTTATTTGATAAACCAGGCTTGATCTGGAATTAAGATGAGACAAGTGTTTGTACCAACCCATCTAAAACTAAAATCGTTGGGCAAAGACGAAAATCCTGTTCTCGTACAACTGGAGGAAGTGGAAAGAAAAATATAACTTGTTTGGCTGCAGTAAGCGCAGCTTATTATATTTAAAGGTTTAAACGTCTGGACCACCTGGATTCCAGACAAACGCGAAGAAAGCTATCCAAATATGTCATACACAGCGAGCAAGAATGGATGGATCACCAGTGAGATTTTTTATTACTACTTAGAAAGAACACTTATTCCTGAATTGGGTGATGAGCGTCCAGTATTGCTTATTTATGACGGACACGCAACTCATGTCACAGAAAAAGTTATTACTCTTGCAATAGATCATGATGTTACCATTCTTAAATTACCTCCACACACGAGCCACTTGCTCCAGCCCCTTGACCTGGCTGTATTCAAATCCATGAAAGATAAGCGGGATCAAAAACTATGCGTTTAGCAAAGAAAACATAGTGGCTCCAGAATTCTGAAAAAACAGTTTTCAATATTACTTGGTAAAACGTGGAAAGAACTATCACATGCAGTAATCTCTAGTGGATTTAGGAAAGCTGGGATCTTTCCCTTTAACCGATCTGTAGTGCCCAAAGAAAAATTGGATAATCAAGCATTAAACCGCTATGAAGCTCTTCAAGCTCTGAATAAAAATAAGCAAATAAGTCAAGATGACTCCCAAGAAGACTCCCAAGAATATAAAGAAAATGAACATCCCCATGAAAATCCAAGTAATAGATATCAAAATGAAAGAGCAGATGATGAAATTCCAGGGACGTCTAAAGACTATACAGTTTCTTTTGAGAATATTTTATTAAATACAGTTAAAAATAATCGACCTGGAACTAGCATTAGCACAACAAGGAAGCGCATAGCAAAAGGAGCAAATGTTATAACATCCTTGGACAAACAAGAAACTCAGAATGATTTAAAAAAACGACAGTTAAAAATAGGTAAAGAAATAGTAAAGAAAATTATACATGCTCCAAAGAAACAAACATATTATAATAATGATTTCGATTCGGAAAGTGATATATCAGAACCTGAATATATGGATACGGATGATGATTCCGAATCATTTTCCGTTTTTGAAGATACACATAACCAAGTCGTACAGGCTAAAAACATGAGAACCCAAAATTTGTATAAAACAACTGAAGATGAGACTGAAACTGTCAAAAATATGGAGTATGAAATAAAGATACCGGACGAACAACCACAAAACACAAGCTCGCAATCAGCAATGATAAACATGGAAACTGAAAACACACCCGAAAACATTGACAAACAACAGGAAAATATGAACATAGACATCCAACAAAAGAACATAAATGTGCAAACCGAAACCACAGACAATAACCTAGACGAAAACAAAGACATACACTCAGAAATTAAAAACCAAGATCGCACACATGATGCAGTACCCAAAATAGGAGACTTCGTTTTGGTACAATTTTATACGAAAAAAAAACTGAAAAAACATATGTTGGCAAAATTTTAGAAGTGCTTGAAAACTTTAATTATTATGCAACATTTTTACGGCAAACTAAACCCCTTGATGGCCAAGAATATTATATTTTTCCTAACATAGAGGATCGTTCGCTGATATCTCTGAAGGAAATTATAAAAATATAATTGCCGATCCAATAGAAAAAAGGAGTCGTTTTTACTTTGAGTTTTAGTATCTGCACTTAATGTTAATAAGTAATAGTTATTTGTGTAACTAGTGCAAAAAGTGTATCTTTGTTGCACGAAGCATGAAGTTTGCAGCTTGAGACGAAGTCGAAAGCTGCAATCATGCTGAGTGCAACAAATATGCTTTTTGCACGTGTTGCACACAATATTTTTTCTACGATCGAAATAAAATATACTCTTACATCAAATTTTATTAGAATATTTTACAAAAGGTACAACAAAAATCTCTTATTTTACTTTTTTGGGTTTATTTCAATTTTATTGTCGCAGTTATTGCAGTTTACTATGTTTAGTGACGGAAAAACTTCATTTCCAGCAATATTTTGAATTTTTTGAATTTTGGTTACATTTTTGACTGGCTCTTCATTTGAAACACCTCTTTTTCGTATTGTGAAGCTTTCGGTGCTGGTACTTGGTTGACCTTCAAGAACTTGAGCAGCTATTTCTGTTTTTTTAGAAATAGACTCCTCAATGTAGCCCTCAGCTACAGTTGAGGATTTCCACCATCCGTGCCGTTTCAAAGTTAATATATCTGCGCCGGATTCTACTAGTAAGGTTGCAGAAGATCTGCGAAAGCAGTGTCCCGTGTATTCCATTAGGTTTTCAATATTTAAATATTTGGTAATATCACTTGGGATTTTGCCAAAAGTGTTTACACCAACAGATTGAACGGAACATTTTCCGTCATAGTATCTAATAAAAAATCTATTGTGGCTTGTTTCTTTGGGGACGGAGGGATGCATATTTGCGATACATTTCCACAAAATTAAAGGATCTAATTTGTCCGCTTATTACAAATGATCGAGGTTTGTTGGTCTTGCTGTCGGGAATTTTTACTGTTATGATAGAATTCATGTTATTTATATCATTTAAAGTAAGTTTCTGTAACTCATCCCTGCGGCATGCTCCTGCAATCCCAAATAATGCAACTATCTAAAAGAAACAAATACCTACGTATAAAGTTAAAAAAAGATTATTAAATATTTACTGTCGGGAGCTTCAACTAAAAACTTATCAAGTTGCTCTCTTGAAAAAACTTTGGACTTTTTGGGGCGATACCCTACCGACTTCTTCTTTAAAAAAGGAATTAATTTTTGAAAATTTCGAATTTCCACATTATTGTTTATTAAAAGTGTAGCCTTTAGCATTGAGTACTCTGACCACAAAGTCGATGGCTTCAGTATTTCCGACTTTTCTTTTAAATATGCAAGTACTACGTTTTCTGTAATATTTCCAACAGATTTAGTCTCACACCATTCTGTGAACCGTTTATAACATACTCCATAATTTTTTTTTGATTTATTGGGTAGTAAATCTGCCGTTGCTTCATTAGCTCTTTCCACTAAATCTGGAGGAGTACAGAAACTGATAGTTTCTTCCTCACTATCCGAACTGAACATTTTTAATAACTTTACAACTTAATACATGTTTAAACTATTAATTTGACACACACAGAGACAAATACGCAGATGTAACTGGATGTAACACGAAAATATTCTGAGAGTTCAGGGTATTTACAAAATAATTCATAGGTAACTATGAAAATTAAGAAATATTTGCATTAATTAAAATTAGAGTAAAACATCTTTCAATTCTGTATTTTATTTCATTTCTATCTAACAAGCGAATTTGGTATTAACAAAAGGGTAGATAAAATATATATTTCTACTTTTTGAAATTTAATCACAAATTCCAGTAATAAAGTGACTGTATATATTTTGGTTTACGAAACGTTTCTTTAAAACCCATGATGGCCTAACGGCTAAGATGTTTACCACCCACCGGAGAAGTTCGGGTTCGATTCACGGCGCTGTGTCCTTTTTTTATTTTTTTCCAAAAAATTGACTGAAAATTCGAAGTGTGTTTTGCACTAGTGCAAAAAATAAGTTACTTTTTTGCACTAGTGCACAAAAGTAAGCTACTTTTTGCACTAGTGCAAAAAATTAAACTTTTGGCACAGTATATAGAGTAAAAAATAGTCACTTTTTGCACGATCGTAGAAAAATGATTTATTTATATTTTTAGTACTTAACCGCTAACTGTAGTATTATTTTTTATGCCAAGAATGTATTACTTATTTTTCTAAAAATGTTTTACGGCAATATTTATGAAGTTTGTAGTCATTTATTAGAACATTTAGCACTAGGTTATTTTGTAGAAGTGGTAAAAAGTTTGTTAATGCCATAATTATTTTGATTTAAAATAAAATATCATTTTTTGTGCTTAAAATAATCGTTCTTAAATTGATTACACTAACCCCTGTTAATTTGTATGCATTTCAAAGGCAAATCGTTGATTGCACTTTCTCCATTTTTATGGGAAAGTGCTATCACCGACTAAACAACAAAAAAAAACTAGATAATCTTAAACCTTTATCTTTATTAATTTCTAATTTTTTCTTTAATAGTAGTATCATAAGAGATCTAAAAAGACATAGTGCAGCATTTCTAAGGTATTCATTTAGATTCTATGATAAAAATATTTTATACTATCAAGAAACGTGACCGCACTTACCCCAGTTTACCTTACATTATTATTGTTCGATTCTTTTTCAATATTTATAGGAATAGGAATGGTGTAATTCGCTGAGAAAAAGTCTGCGAAAATATTTACTATATTCTGGGAGGTGCTAAGCTGTGTGTTATTATAAGTCATATTATTGGGTATTGAAGACGAACTTCCACGTTTTGTATTCACTAATGACCAGAACGATTTGGGATCATGTTTTACGTTTTCCTCTGAGGATCTTAAGAAAGTTTAGTAGGCTAGTTTGATCTTTTCTTTAATATCAGATCTGCAAATAGCGAATTTAGCGTATTTATAATCATTTTTTATTTGGATTTCAAGACTTTTTCCATGATAAATCCCATAAAAAAATCGCAGGTTCATTCTGGAGGAAATCGAGGCCAAAATCACCCTCAGAGCAGCCGGAATAGTTTTCGCTGAAAAATGAATGTATAATAAGGAGCGACATTGCACTTAGTCATTACATCTCTCTCGGATTTATAAAAATTATCAATGCAAGAAATAAATTATAACAAAATATTACTGCAATGAGACATATTGTTTTTGATTTTAGGACAAGTTGGCAATGTGATAACTAACCGAAATGCTAACAGACTAGAATTTGAACGACTTTTAGATGGAGCCAAGACTTACATGAGGCATCATAAGGTAAGTGTTATAATCTGATATTCTTATTTCAGAGTATAGTATCGACTATTTTTATTTGTCCGTTTTTCACATAAAGATTTCAGTATTACATTTTCTCGCTCAAAATCTCTGATGATTCACTCGAACAAACACCGACGTTTACCACGCCTTTATATTACGTCACTGTTAGATTGCGATTCTTCATTCGCTCAGGCTACGTTCAGGCCAGTCGTGATTCGTCGTTTGTTGAGCTCATATCGTTTAACCAAGTGCCAGTCAACTCCACGTGGACTTCCAGGGTAGTATTTCAGAGTTTTTTTCTCGTAGTTTCAGCGTACAAATATTGTTTTTAAAATTTAAATTATGGCATTTTGGAGACCATGTGAGACTGAAGAAATTAATCATTTGGAGGTTCAAGCATTAAATAATGACAATGAGTTGGAGGGTAAGTAAATAAATACATAATAGAAATGTATAGAGCTCGTTTATGTTAATGTTTTGTAAAATTATTTTAGAAATCTTAGAGTAATTAAAGTGTCTTTTTTATAGCTACCGAATCAGTTGTTTCCGAAAGTGACCACGAAGAGGTAAACCATAATGAAAACTTCGACAAAAGAATTGATGTGCGTGCTCAACAAATAATTTTAAATATGTATTCTCAATTATTAAAAGAGAAAAATGGATCCAATTATAGAATAATTAGCAGAATACGAAAATTAACAAAATTTTCCAAAAGAAGCTTTGGAAGAATTATCTCTAGAAAAGTAGTTGTGACACCAAAGAAATGAGTACAACCATCTTTAGTAAAAATAAACAATGTTTTGAAAGAACATGTTAGAAAAAAATATACCAATTGTATAGCGCAAATATTGTACCATGTTTTAATGATATTTTAAAAGAAATAAAGGACATTCCAGGCTTCCCCTATAAAAGTTGTAGCGCCATTCGCAAGGTTTTACATTCTTTAGGTTTCCGATACAGAAAACTCAATAAACGTCAAAGAGTTATGGAATCTCAACGGATAATTAACTGGAGATACGATTATCTTAATACAATTTCCAAGTATCGCCAAAATAGAAAAAATATTGTGTATTTGGACGAGACGTGGTATGACACCCATGATGTTGTAAAAAATGGATGTAGTGACAAAACTATTAAATGTTCGTTAGATGCACCTGTGAGCAGTGGGAAAATATTAATTATTTTAAACGCTGGAAATACAGATGGTTTTTTAAAGAATTGCTTGTTATTGTCAGCTAAAAATATTAAGTCTTGTTCGGCTGATTACCATCAAGACATGGATAGTAAGCTATTTGAAACATGGTTTGGTGAACAACTGTTTCCAAATTTATTACCCAATAGTGTAATTGTGCTAGACAATGCTCCGTACCACTCTAGGCAGAATTCAGAAATACCTAAAGCCAAAGCTAGAAAGACAGAAATAGCAACTTTTTTAAAAGAGAGAGGTTTGGACATTCCAGATGATGTTCTAAAGAAAGACTTGATTGTTTTGTTAGAAGGGCTTAATTTAAAACCAAAATATGTAGTCGATGAAATGGCCAAAGAGTGTGGGCATGAAGTGATAAGATAACCTCCATATTACTGCGTCTTTAATCCAATAGAAATGGTATGGGCTGATATTAAAAATCAAATAAGGAGAAATAACACAAGGCCTACTATGAGCGAACATCTTCTAATTACAATTAGAGACATTTTTTTTTAAATTTAATCCCGAAAAATGGATTAATTTTATACCTACGCCATGTCATGGAAATTGAAAAATCTTACGAGCTTACAAACGTTCACCCTTTTATTATTGATGTTGATGACACTTCAAGTGAAGATGGAAGTGATGACGAATAAATTGTTTTGTTATCTTTGTTTCTTGTTTTTTTTTATTGTAAACAATTTTTTATTTTATTTTAAAGAATTATTTTTTATTTTATTAAAAATGTGATGGCATTTCTAATATATTTTTTGCGATTAATCCCACTTGAATTTTGAAAAAGGAAGACTGGTTCTAATAAGATCTAAACTTTAGTTATTTAACAACACATGTACCTATGAACATATTTATTTTAAAAATTTTAATATAATTAACCTAATGATATAAGAATTGAATACCTAGTTTCGATCGAAAATATATTCTATATTTTGTTCCTTGATACATAAGAATATAAGCACCTTTTTATATAAAAAAAATATTTTAAAAATACCCAATCTACCTATCAAACGTAATCTAATATTCTGAAATACTATATTAGTCATGAAACAAAATTATTTAAGTACGGTCCCTAGACAGCGGTACAACATAAAGAACGCGGCACCTGCACTTACATCGCTTTGATTTGCCGAAATAGAGAAAAGCGGCCAAATAAAAATAGTCCATACTATAATTTCTCGTCATTATTCTTCTTTTATCATTGATTACAGTATTGTATCTGAGGTCTTTATTTTTAACTTTTATTCATTTACAGTTACATATTGCATTTTAAAACTCTAATATAAAAGTTTTCAAAAATCGTTCTCCCTGTTACAATAACCTGACTAGCTAATATCTGTTTGTGAGGAACTTGTTTCTAAAATAAAAATCGTCAATTTTCCTGTATTTATACTTTTACTTTTGAATCAAGTCATTGCTATTAAAAAGGGCAAATACCCTTCTGTCGCTTCCACACAGCTTGTATTTGACAGTCTGTTTTAAGTAAATAGTTTTTAGTCTGGAAGCTGGCACGTTGCATTAATGTAAATATAAGCAATTTAAAGTTCTGAAACTCTAGTTTAATGCAAAAGTCACCTTTCGTTAATTGCAGGACAACTATGAAATGATAACTTCCAAAATTGGAGTTTGTGATGCTTTCGTTGATAATGAAACTCTTCCTTTTTACATTATCTTCGGCCGATGCACCCACTTTCAACGAATTAATGTCGTTAGCTGTAAGCCACGATGGTTTAATTAAATATTCCAGAGGTTTCACTACGACTTGCTTTATCTAATAATGGAATTTTCATCAGTTTTAACCACAAAATACTCTTAAACCTTATGATACGAAAGAAAATACGTTTTTGTTGTACTAGTCATGTACAATTAAAATACTTTGTAGAAAATATTTTATATAAAAGTTGTATACAAGGTGTCAATTTAAAACCTTCCCACACTTAATATCTTCCTTTATGGAAAATTGCAAAGGCACGACTTAAATGTCTATCGCTTAGAGATTTGTTTTTAAAAATAATTTTTACTAAATAATCAAAATAAAAACACAAATTTTATTTATTAATATTTACCTTTTTGTTAAAAGATATGGTAAAGTCTTGCTTTCTTTATTGTTTGAATGTACAATGGATGAAATAAAAAGTTACTAGATTTTGGCACGTGGTAGATTGATTACATCATGTTATTATGTCAAGGGCAGTTATCAAAATAATTTTGAATTTGTCAATTTGTTAAAATTTTGTACCTATATTTTGATATTTCAAAACTTTAACCCTAAACGTAGTTTTCTATTTCAAGGGACAAATTTATTTGCGAGGCTCTTGGAAAGAGATACAATCAAATGTCTGCAGAGGCATTAAATATTTCGCAGTAAACTATCTATAGACTTAGTAAACCTGATACCTACAGAGTATGTGAAAATGTCTAAAAAAATAAGTCAAAGTAAAACAAAAGTCAATTTTTTAATATTGTTACGCTGGTTTTTGGTATCTTAATTTATTTCAACTCAACTTTTACAATAATTCAACTGATAACATTAACGTCTAATATCTATCATAAAACTAAAACTGACGTCAGGATCAGCGACTTAGCTCGATTTAACCTTCTAGAACCTTCCCGAACGTCTAGATGTTTCTTGACGTGAAATAACATTTCTCGAATAATCGCCCTTCTTCTTTTACTTGCACCTTTACTTATGACGATCACATCACACTGTAGGGTGATAGGTAACATTGCTCCCCCTCTCTAATTATTCGTTCCGAATAACTTGATTACTGGGACCTGGTTGGAGCTAACGGGGAGGATCTGGACCACGGTATGGCGCTAACTTTCTAATGTAAATTACCTTGGGTTTGCTTCTCGATGACATCCAAATGCGGTAGGTCGTTGATTTTTCTCAGGAACGGTGTAGGGGCCTTCCTAGTTCCGCTGTAGTTTTTGACAAAGTTCTCTTCGGCGCTTAGGATTGCACAGCCATATTGGGCCCCCTCTCTTAAAATATGTCCCGGTGGCACGCGTGTCGATTCTAGCTTCTGCTTTATCGCTGTTGGCTTTCAGATGTTCCCGAGCTAAATTGTAGACCTTTGTCCTGACATTGCACAGTTTTTACACCAATCCGCTACATTCCGCGGGCAATTGACCCAATAAAATCTTTTTCGAACTCGTGCCAGTGTCTTTTTAGTACCAAAATGTCCTGTCAAACGGCTATTATGAGACTCCTTCAACACGCTTCTGACATGTGATTTCGGCAGTATCACTACATCTACTCCATCGGGGCTCTCCCAATTTCGGTGCAATAGGAAGGGAGTCTTAGTGAGTCCAGTACCCTTTAATAGTTCCACTGTATTTGGCTATCTCTTGCCAAGTAGGTGTGACTTTATTTTTGAGCCATTCTCGGACCACCTTTAAATCATTGGCTTTTTTCTGATCCTTTCTCAGGATTTCAATGGTGATTTTTTCTTCGTTGCCCTCTGGCTTGATAGTGGTTGCCCAAAGAGTAACTTTATCAACCGTTTCCTCTTGTTCTTTGAGCCCTTTACTGTACCTGGAGAGAATGTCTGTGTTGCTATGGAGACGACCTCTTCGATGCTCTACTTCGTGGTTATTGCTAGAAAGCCGGCTAGGTGTGGGTGATCGGCTTCTCCGGGATGCATAGCTGCTCTAATTATTTCTTGTTGGACCGCGTGACGTGCTTCGGAAGATTTCTATGTGTGACTTTATGGCCCCATTCCGTGATTCTTGATTTATACAACAAGCTCTATTTCTTTGAAGGTGTCCCATTCTTCCGCAATTAAAGCATCTTCTA